TTCCTGTTCTTTTCACCTTTCCTAATTGTTGGATAAAAGAAAAGTCGGTGGTGACTCTTGCTAACTGCAACATTTGCGATAAAACCAATAAAAGTATGTTCTCCCACCGTATTATAATGACCATAACACACATAGTTGCTTGAATTGAAAAGTTATTATGGAAGGTGGAAACATGAACATGTACTGAACTCAAACTACATGGACAAGATCTCTTGACTTTGGTTAAAATCATATTTAAAAAGTTGACTTTTTGGCCAAAGTGTTACTTGAGTTTTATCTGAGATAAGCCATGGATCAAATAAGTGCAAAATCAAAGGAAAATACTTAAGCATGGAAAAAGAAAAGAAACATAGAAAAAAATCAAGAAACTACTTGAAAAAGCAACATATTTCAAAGGAAGACAAGTTGAATCAAAGAAAAATCAAAGAAACTACTCTCTTTCTCTCTCTCTCTCTCTCTCTCACTCTCTCTCCCCTTAATCTTCTTCCTCTCACCCTTCTCTCTGCAACCTAACTCACTAACCAAAGCTCATTCACCATTTTTGAACAAAACTTCACATTTAAGTCTTTTTTCTACCGAGCTCAACCATCACTCAACCACCACCTTCAAGCTACAATCCTCTTCAACCCTGCTCCTCACTACGAGCCTCATCGCGTTTCAATTCTCTCACCATCACTCTTTGATTACCAGGACAAAAACAAAGAAGAAGTATAGGAGAATAATAACAAAGGATAAGTATAAGAAAAACAAACATATAAGATTACCTGTATTGCACAAAATTTTCGGTTTTCTCATCATCTTTGTCCCGTCTGAAGCACCACCGAAGTGCCTCCAGTAGGTAAGCAACCGAGTCTCCACTTTTATTCACTATGGCGTAGTTTGAGATGTACTAAGTGGAAGCCCCAAGGTTTCTAGGACATATATATAGGTCATCATTATTGTTTAATTCCATGTTTTGTTAGATCTATGGTTTGCCTTTTATTCTGATTATGAGAGTTTGAAGTGAATTCAAGAGAAAAGAATGAGGGATTTGAGATCAAGAGGTCAAGGCGAGGATGAGGATGTGAAGTTTTTGGTATTATGGGCAATACGCCACTACAGTCGCCGCTGTAACGCGTGCCGGCAGAGATTTGAAGGAAAACTAGAGGGAAGAAGAGATTGAGAGGGAAGAGTCTTGTTTGAAATAATTTCAAATGTCCTTAAGTCCACCATCTAAACGCATCGTACCACTCTTTATTTTCTTTTTCTTATATTTTTGTATTTTAATAAATTTGATAAATAAATAAATCTGATTAAATCATGTGGTACTGGGCTTTTGATTACAGGACTGCGTTTCACACCCCCAGCCTAACCCTGTATCACACTTTTTATTTTTTTGACTAAGCTAAAGCATGAACAAAAAGTACCATCTTAGGCCTCTGCTTAGGCCAAGCGCCTATTTCTTCTAGACCAGACACACTTTTATGGCCTCTACCCTCTAGTTTCTCTATTTCATTTCTTTTTTAATTTCCTTTTAGTTGATTTTTTTTTATAAAATAATGATAAAAGAGACAACGAAATAAAGCAAATAAAAACCCCACAAAATAAAAACCTAAAACCTAAGGGGATGGCTTCTAAACCTAGGGTTGGAGTCCCCAACAGAGTCGCCAACTGTAAAATAGAGAACCCGAGTTTGCAAAACATAAATTCTAAGTTTCGGACTTCTTTAGAATAAAGGAAGGTGTTAGACACCTTTCATCTACCTTATTCGTAAGGATACTAGGTTTAGGGCATTTCAGTTTAACAATTATGTACAAAGGGTTTTTAATTTTTAATAGGATAAAATGGTTTGTCTTTTAATTAGGGGGAAAGGGGTTTTATTTTAATAGGGGATAAAAGGATTTTAATTTTTAATAGGGGAAAGGGTTTGTTTTTAATAGGGTAACTCGCCACGATTTTAGTCGTATGCCTACATATCCTCTTAGGAGGAATCAGAGTCTCATTTCGTAGTTCGCGGTTGATTGGTGTTTTTATAGGGCTGCGTAGAATTGTTTTTGAATTATCCTTGAACTTTGTCTGGGTTGTAAATTAAGTGATAATAGACGTAGTTCACAGTTAAACTTGAAATTAATTCTCCTTAACCCTTTTTCGAAAATATCTTGTAGTTTTTGTTAGGTTAGTGGAAAAATGGTTTATTGTTGGTTAGTTGTTTTGATGTTTTGATTTGATTATAGAGTATGATGAGACATTGAGCGGGGAGAGTCTGATATAGTCTCCTTCTCACGTGGCCAGATATTGTTCACGTGTTGCTCGATGTGAAGGATGCGGAGGAAGTCTGATATAGCCTTCCTCATCACGTGGTTAGATATTGTCCACGTGTTGCTTGCGGGTGGAATATTTGATGAATTGCATGAATTTTGATATTTGATTGTAACTTAAGATTTCGATTCAAATTTAATATTTGATTTATGGATTGAAAATTGAAGTATAAGTGAATAATTGAATGAACATGTAAGTGAAAAAAATAGCATTAGAGTTAGTAAACATATTTTAAAGTTAATAATAAAAATAGTTTTAATTAGTAAAAACCTATTTATCCCAATTTGTTAAGTAATTAGTAAAAGGACGAATTCTAAATTTAGAGTTTATAAAAATAAATGTTGATTATAGAAAAATAAATATTGGTTTAATAAAAAGGATTTTTATTGCTACAATTTACAAGAAAATATATAAAATTACATCCACATTATGATTTAGAAAATGAATCTTGCAATAGATTTAAAAATAATAATTTGATTAATGATAAAAATTATTTAGTTATTTTTAATAAAGGAAAAATTAAGTTTGATATTCATAAAAGGTTTATAACATAATTATATTTAGAAAATACTCAATAATACGCCTGATAAAAAATATATTGTATAAATAATAAAAAAATAAATCATAAAACAATTTAGAATAAAATAATAAAAATAATAAACACTACAAAAATTAAAATAAATACATAGGGGATTATTAATGTTTCCGTTTTTCATTGTAAGAAGACTTGCCTCTTCCTAGTTTTGAATTGTTCTTATTTAGTAATTTTATCCGCCCTAATTTAGTAATAATAAAGATAGTAAAGCTAATTTATCATATAAATTTTTTAGTTTCCTAGTGATTATAGTAACAATTAAATATTGAGAAAAACCAATTCATATAAATTATAATACTTAGACACACTAGATTAACCATGAAAAATAAAAATTACCAACAACAAAATATACAAACTATACATGGAAACACTATTAATCACATAAAAGCATTGTGAATGAAATTCCAAAAGCAAAGAAATAAAACTCGAATATTCAAAAAAATTGAATTTACATCAAAGAAGACAAAGTTATCAACCTAAAATGTCGTGACCGATTTAAGTTGTTTCCTTTCCTTCTTCTCGGTCAATCCTTCCTCTTTTTTTGGTACAAGAGTTTCTTAGATTGATGGAGGACTTTTAGGAGATACTTCGTTGTTGTTCTTCGATGTGAAGAACAACAATTTTAGGAAAACTCTAGTGAGTTGTTGATTTGTTAATTGTTGGTGAAATTGTTGATCATCAAAATTTTGTTGATGAAGACTTCAGGGTTTCTTTGTTGTTGTTCTTCGATGTGAAGAACAACAAATTTTAGGAGAACTCTTTTAGTGAATTATCGATGATTATGAAATTGTGGATGGAAAATAGCGTGGAAGAGTGGTCTATTTATAGATTTGAAATTAGGTTAAAGACATCTCAAAAAGGAAATAGTCCACACCAAGAAAAGCCCAAAGTTTATGATTTTTATCTTGGTCAACAAGTCTACAAATTCTGACCAATGAGAAATCAGTTTTGTTAACATGTGACCAATCAGAAAGTGACAAATCATGTGATTTTGTTGTTTTTATATTTTATGTGATTTTTGGTTATTTTTTAATTAAAAATTGAAAAATGTGAAAAAAATTATTTTTGAGAAATTATTAATTAAAAAATACGAAAATTATAATTTAATAATAAAAAATGACTTTTTGGTAAGATTTATACCAATTGAGATTCGATTGAGAATTTGGTGGACAAAATTATGAACCTAGACACTTTTGTGATTTTTTCTCAATATTGTGATTTATTTTGTGATTAATAAAAATTGATTTTGAAAGATTTCAATTATTTCTAACATCTTGACTATTAAGTGTATAAAATCAAAGATTTAAAAAAATAAAAAAATAATTTTAAAATACCCTTAAAATAGAAAATAAAAATAATAATAAAATAATTGAAAAATGACTTTTTTATCCTTTTTCTTGAAAAAACACACAAAAGAATATAAATGTCAAAAAGTAGTGTAGTGAGACATGAACTCAAGACCTTCCACTTTTAATCCTTACTCTCTTACCAACTGTGCTACGTTATTCATTTGAAATAAAAAGTCAATTGAAAATATATGAAGATGATCAATTATTTGCTATTTAAAAATATAACTAATTTAAAAATTACTATATTTTTAAATTAACTCGAAAACGAATATTTACAAAATCCCAAAATATTAATGTAAATCAAAAGAATTTTATAAAAATTAAACTTTGAAAATAAACTTGATGGTAGCACCGAGGGTAGGAAAATTTGGGGTATGACACTCACTAATTTAAAAATTATTTTTTCTCTCTAAAATTCATAGCAAGTAAACCTTTAGATAACAACACCCTTAGAAACAAACAAACAAAGTGGATCTTTTTGAGTACCACAAATGTGAGGGGTGCTAATACCTTCTTCTTTTATAACCGACTTCTGAACCCGAACTTAGTTACGGGACCATTTTCTTCACCTTTTTTGGGTTTTGTCGATGTCTCCCCTTCCCCTTAGAATAAATAAAATTTGATAGCGAGTATGTATTTTTTCGTGTAGTGACACTGTGTTAGATAAATGAGAGGGGGCCATTTGGAGACCCATATTGCCCCATCTAACTTGGTGGCTAGTAATTCCAACCTACAAGGGACCTTGGCTGAAAAAGAAAATGCTTTGGAGGAAGCTCAAACTTTGTCCTGGGAGCTATCTTTCTAAGTTACTACCAATAAAAATACTTTGGAGGAGGATAAAGAATCGTTCAAAGAGTTGGAGAAAAAAATATAATACTCCCGTCAATAAGGGTATAAAGGATGCTCTTGTCATTTTCCATGTTGTCATCGACCAAGTCCAGTTGCTATTCCTAGGGCTGCGAATGGGGAGATTGTCAATGATGATGAGGAAGCAACTGAAAATGGTCAAAAGGATAAAGAAGAGGAAGAGGAAACTGGTGGGGATACGTGATATTTCTAACTCTTTACTTGAGTAATATCATGTGCCATTGGGGTCAATGCAATTTATTTTGAACTATATTTTTAGTCGTCCAATAAGTTAATCGGAAGGTGGTCTCGTCGATGTTTGAATGAGATATGGTCATGTAGGCCTAAAGGATGTTTGAAAGTTTGTCTGCTAAATTTCCTTTAACTGTCACGAGCCTCTGCTTCAGTCCTCTAAGAATTACTTGATTTTCAACTTCAGTTTGATGATTGGTATGAAGGTGTTCTACTGACGTGAAATATTGTTTGATCTATAGGCATTACTTTGAAAAAGGCATTAACAATGGTTGGAAAATATATATAATCATGCAGGTCTAGGCCTTGTTATGTAGAGTGTTGTTGTAAATGTGTTACTTACAATCATGATCACGGGATCGTTGTAGTATACTGGAAAGAGCACGTGATATGATAATTGTTATTTAACTCAACTGTTGTGATAGACCTAAAGGTCCCAAGTTTGATTCTCAGCAACAATATTTTGGAATTTATATTATTCTGGTCAGCATTCAATATTCAACCACGTTTAAGTGTAATAACTGTTGCCAAATTTCTGTTGTTTTTTAAAAAGGAATTCTCTTCTTTTAAAATTTTTCCCATATCTTAACTTGTATCTATTTTAACAATATCACAGAAATAAAAGCAACATGTATTTTTGTTAACCATGCATAAAGAGCATAAAAAACAATCTACATTTTGCATCAAAAGCCAAAATAATATTTACATCAAACACAAAATATGTTATTTACATCTTCAATCTTAAAAATATATCAAACATATCTATCAATCAAATAGCATGACCCTTAAGCACATTGTGGATAAAATTCCAACGTTTACGATTTCTTTAAAGTCCTCAAGGGGGAATGGTGTTTTGTCGTTAAACATCTACATAAATAAGAGAAAAAAGTGAATATCATGCATGCTAATAATTGAATAGACAACTTATATATAATATAATGCAAATATTTTATGATATATATATATATATATATATATATATATATATATATATATATATATATATATATATATATATATATATATATATATATATATATATATATATATATATATATATATATATATATATATATATATATATATATATACATACTATATACCGTATGCCATGAATCAACAATGCTAGCAAGGGAAATATTAACATGTGTTTCATGACATAATACCCACACTCATAACCCTCAGATTGTGTCCTCGTCTATAAATTTAAACAATAATTTCATAAATATAACCACACATGAATGTAACAATATATATAAATGATAGAAACAAGTAATTGTGCCACTTACCTTAGGCAAGAACCATGAGGACTTTCTTCTAATATTGCACATGATATTGTGTCGTTGCACAACATTGTACATTGAAAATGAATTAAACATATTCCACGTTAAACTAATTACAATGTCAAAGAAAATATTACTTTAAAGTTTCATATACACATAAACTTCCCAAGTAATAATATCATTCATGTCCCTTTCGAGTTTCTTATGTAAGGAACACAATGTAATTATCATATTCATCCTAAGTGATATGATGATCAATTGCCAATGACCACTGAATAAACACGAGAATATATGTAACTAGTATTTTCTAAAACAAAACTAAATATATAATAGATAAACAACAATTACAAAATTACTTACGCATTGATAAATGGTGCTAAGTAACATTATTTTCCTCCCTCATTTAACTGTTTTGTCATGTAATCTTGAATTACTTTTGGATCATTATTTGTCCATTGAATACTAAATGGATCCAAGATTCTATAAATATTCTATTTATTTAGATCTATATAAACACGGTGAAAGTACCTAAATGGTTAAACAAAATTAAAAAATTAAGGGAGGAAATACAAAAAAAAATGATAATGTACTATAATGACATGCATATTCAATTATATACTTACGTGCACCAAACTTGTTATCCCTACGTCCAGCCACTTATGTCCAATGACAAAATCCCTTACATATTTAGGATTGTAATGGAAGAGTACTACATTTGGACAATGTTCTAGCGTAAGACGTTGCAGGTCAACGATCTCTGCAACGCTCATGTATAACATGGAGATTTCATTTGCGAAGGATCCAATAACTCATTGCAGTTATCTGGAGAGGGGAGTGGCTGAAGAATTACTTCCTTTGGTGATAACACAACGTATAACACTTCTATTTGGAATATTATCATCATCACCATCATTATAATGATCATCTTCATTTTTATGTTGTTGGGTGTTTCCACTTATTCTATACATCATAATATTCAATTATAACATATAACAGAATAAGCACAATATATATTATACATTTCAGATAAAACACTAGTATCTCAAATAAAGCACATACCGAATATAACTCTTCTAACTTTTCTAACTTTTCCATATCTTTCCTTCGTCTTTCCTTCTCCTCTTATAACATCTTTCTTTATTCATATAACTGCTTCTCAGCTTTCTCAATCTTTTTACTTTGTGCAAGTAATTCCAGACTTTCGGTGTTTTTTCTTGATAAACCAAAGTATAACCTTATGCCGACACCTTCTCCAACACCACAAACACACCCACCATATTCATTTGTTCCGATAGATTCTACTAGTATATCATGTCGTGGTTCTGGAACAAATGTTACTTCACGGGCCGCCTTAACCAACATATCCTACACAACATGCATGATAATATATATTGTTACCAAAGTAATTAAATAACGAATAACATAAGAAAAAAAATCCTACTTAAAATTGACTCAGTAACTACTCTTGACGCATATGAGATGTACTCTCCTTTTGGTCTTAATTGAGTCCTCTTCCACCTCTCATGTCTTGACGGTGGAGACGGGATGCGGCATCTCCCGTTTGTTGTTTTTTCAAGCATGGTTTTTTTCTCAAGTTTCCTGTAAACCCCACGAGACAATCTATGGGGGTACATGTTTTTTGTCTTGTTTTGTAAGCCTATTTCTCTTTTAACCTATTATTAACATAGTGAAAAATATATATGATTAGTATTTATAACTCATTAACATAAAAATATCAGATAAATAAGACTAATACTAACCTTGAAATTATCAGAACCGCGGTCCCTCACAAACTTTATCCATTTCTTCTTCGATATAAAATTATATCTTATCCATGAACCAGCAAGACTGGTCTTAGGCTTCCTAATGTTGTCAAGCATGAGTCGTGACTTAAAGCCCATCAAACAAGTACCGACATAAGTGATCCAATTTTTTTCAACTTTTTGTCATTGATAAACTCGAAACTCAAATATATTTAAATTAATAAGTACGTATTAGAAATTACAGAAAGTGATATCGAATAGATGAAAATTAAAATTGTTACCTTAATTTCTGTCCATATGCTATATTTGATATTATTTAGAACTTGTTTCTAATCATCTATCAATATACTGACTTTGCTACGTCCAAAGAATGCAACGTAACTCTTAAAAGTGGAGTAATATTCACAATCAACTACTTTGTAGAACGAATCAAAGGAGATCCGAATTTTGTAAGACTTTTGTGAATTAAGGCATCATTGTGACACCTCATTGTGATCTTTTCGATTGAGTATCATTTATATGAGTTTTTTCTCTAGTAGCGATGAATTCGACAATGTTAACATGTATGTTTAAAAACAACAACAACAACATAAACAACAACAACAAAAAAAAACATAAATAATAACAACAACAAAAGATTAATCATACACATTCACAACAACAACATCCATAATAATGGCAAATGAGGTTTTCTATAGATTCATGGGGAAAATATTTTACGTACCGTAAACGTGATGACTAAGGAGAATAATGTGTTAATGTTGGTGTGGTCTTCCTTTCCAATGATGACGATGTTTTTGGTGTTGTCTTTCTTCCCGATGATGATGAAGGTGTTGGTGTAGTCTTCCTCCTCGACATCGATGATCTTGTTGGTGTTATCAACCTCCTAGACGAAGTTGATGAAAATGATAAATACACAATTAACAAAGTGAAAAATGAGGAATGATAAATAGTGAATGATGGTGTTAGGGTTGAAATCAAGTATCATTTTACAAAATTGAACATTAGGATTGTTTCGTCTTGTTTCTTTTTTCAGTGTAAAATGGATACTGAAGAGACAAGGTAGCTAGAAGTTTATAATATTTATAAAGAAACCACCACGGTCAATACTGTAAACCGTTATGATATATTATTTGCATAATGAAATTTCATAAAGAAGGGCCAATATTTAACCATTTAAAAATTTTAAATAAAAAAACAAAATATATCACAATGGTTGAACAAAACAACAGTAGTGATATCCCTTTTATTTTTTATTTGAAATTCTAGATATCAGATCGTGGATGTCCTAAGAGATGTCGATATATCAGATTCGACTTAACACACAACAACAAGATGTAATGACAAATAAAATAATGTTGAAAGTAAATCACACAAGATATATTTACCCAATTCATTGACAACAACACATACTCTGGGGACTACCAAGCTAGGGACGAAATTAACTATTATAATATAAATTTGCAGACCTTATAGCAAACCTCTAGTTTACAGTCTACAAAATTAATCACTACCATTTGCTTAACTTCTACCTAAGACACACCTAGGTATGAAGCCTTCCTCAAATCCCTCTTCAATTACACTTAGCAACTGGAGCAAACTCTAAACACAAGTAGTAAACAAAAACAACTGGAAGCTATACTTCTAAAACATGTAAGATGCAATTCTTAAAAGCTTATGAGAATTGACACAATATGTTAATTACTTTAAAGGTTCTAAACATCTAACAAGAAACTTACAACCTAACAATAAGGATTCTAAAAACTCTAACACAAATACATCTATAAGTTCCACCTAATAATAAGTATACACCAGTCTATTTATAACTTTATTCTAGACAGGGTTGGGCTTCAAAACTACAGTAGTGAGGTTGCACAAAAACTGCAAAAAAACCTCCAAGAAAATAGGTCTTCAATCATTAGTTTCCTAATA